AATCGACCAATCAGGCATTGTACGAATCGACGTTTAATCTTCGCGAACCACTAGGGCAAGGGCAATTCATCAATCTTATCCGGCTCGAGTGCCTGCAAGCCGCTTCGCAAATCGACTAACAGTATGTACGAATTCGGCGTTTAATGTTCTGTGCGAACCAGCTGGGGCAAGGCAGATTCATCAATCTATCTGGACTCGAGTGCCGCAGCCGCTTCGGAATCGACTAATCAGTATTGTACGATTCGCGTTTCACGGTTCGCGAACCAGCTGGACAAGGGCAGATTCATCAATCTATCCGGGCTTTAGAGTGCCGCAGCCGCTTCGCGAATCGGACTAATCAGATTGTTACGATTCGGCGTTTAATGTTCCGTGTGAACCAGCTGTGAGGCAAGGGCAGATCATCAATCTATCCGGCTCGAGTTCGCCGCAGCCGCTTCCACGAATCGATTACTAGTCCTATTTGCACCAAGATGTCCGTTTACTTGTTCGGATAAATTAAAGTTTAACTAATAATTGACCAAGATTACACTGATTTCCAATCGTTGGTTTAGAAGGCACAACAGATAGTAATCATCTTAACCACAGTAGTGGAGGCAAAACGCCTTCATTAATATCAAGAACCCTTCGTATAAGTAAAAGTTGAAATGGGAAGGAAATTTTTCATTAATAAATTGAGGCACAGATAAGTAACTAACTTATACATGAAAATTACCTTGACTAACAAGGATCCACTGAACAAGAAACGTTTTACATCGGAAATTAAAAGATACCTAATAAAACTAGAATGCTCCCCATATCAATCTCGGGATCAGACTCAAGTGCGCTCAACGTCCACTGGCTCGTATGGAATTGGCAAGGCCAATGTAACTCCAGCGGAAGCAAAGGGCTTTGAGCCACCCAGTGTTGAATCCTCGATTCTCAAATTTGGGACCTCATCTACGTATTCCTTCAAGGCGGCGCTCTTCCAGCTTCTAACGCCGTAGAAACTTCAGATTCGGCTTTTTCCATGGCCGCCTTCAATTCTTCTAATCTGGCCTCTGCCTTGGGAAAAGCGCCTTCCTGGGTTAACTTGAGCGACTCCTCACTCGCGTTTGCCCTATCCTCGCTTCAGATCTAAGCTGGTCAGCAGTCGAGCCCTCCCTTTTTAGCTTCGGCTCGAGCACTTTCCATTGCAGCTCTCATCGCCTCGAACTCGGCCCTACTTCTTTCACCCTCAGCTTCAACCTTTAACGCGGCCAATTCTTTCAATGGCATCCTGCTGCCGACGGCCTAGTTCGGCTATCCTTCAACCATCTGCAAAACAAGTTTGGATGCCACATCAAGCAACGTCGTACGCAAACCAAAACAAACAAGCAAAAACAAAAGTATCGGTATACATACAGAAGGGCGACTGGGCAGCGAACGCTATAGCTACCAAATCCAGCTCTTCTAGAAAAGTGGCCTTGTCAGCCGGTAGTGAAACTGAGGTGGCCAAGCTCAACGCCATGGCTGGATCCTTCATGGCAGATGCGTCAACGGAGATTGGCGTGTCTTTGATCTTTGGTTGAACAACGAAGGGGACAACCACGTCGGACTCCTCTAACCGAGGCCGTTTGTCAGCAGGGCTATCCTCTGAGTAGGCCTCTCCCTCGGCGGAACGTTTTTCACCCCACTCTTTTGAAACCAGCCATTCTTCCGTAACCTGTTGTTCAGCTCCCTCCATCCCGGCCATAACAACTTGAGCCGTTTCTTCTCCAGTAACCGGTTGTATAGATTTAATCGGGGCAGGCTCAGAACGAGCGGCCTCGGCTTTCTTTTGGACGGCCATTCTCTCGGCATTTCTCTTCCTCGCCATCTGTGTGAGATTTTCCCCAGCCATGCCTTCAGAAAAAGCGCCGGGTAGATCTCCTAAGTTTGTAAAAATGTCTCCGAAGGAAAACTCCGCCCGACCCGAAGTGGACGGAGAGTTAGGCTCGTTAAGATCGGCTGCCGCAAACGCTGATTTGAGGGCTTCGTCGACTTCTTCGGCCTCCGTAGCGAACACCTTCGTTGATTCGGCAACTACTTCGACCACCGGCTCTAAGTCTTGCTCCGAATCAGAAGCTTCAAGACCAATTTGCCTGAGGGTCTTGAAGCTGGGGAAGACAAGAGCCGTAAGGTGTTGTTCACCAGTTGGGATCGGAATATCGTCCGCCGCAGAGAATGTGGTATAAGTAGGCTTGTACCGCAGGAGAATATGGGCGGCTCTTCCTTGCTTCTGTACGTTCGGACGGCGAAAGTACTTTAGTGCTGTCTTAATTTCCGCAAGGACTGCGTCGTCAGCCGAGGTCAAAATCTTCTTCAACTTATTGCCTGCAAGAATAAAGGGTAAGGCTTGGAGAAAGTGCCATATGAAAAAATGATCAACAAACAAGGAGTTGTACGGCAACCTGGTTCACCCCTCCATCTGGGAATAGGGTTCAGGCGATCTTCGCCCTCGCCGAATTCCCAGTTACCTCGGACATTGACCATTGCATCGTCAACTCGTTTGCCAGAACTGGCAAGCATCGTTACCAAGTGATGGTCGGTGTCCTTGGCCCAGAGAAAGTAGCGCCCGAGCCGACTGGAGGATTTGGCTAAAGCATAGCAGTGCCGAATCGCCGGAATGCCAAGTGTGAGCACAAGAGACGCTGGTTCAACTCTATGATTCCCATTACGATTCGAAAAAAGTTTACATTGGGTTGCGAAGGAATCAGACTCCAATAGCGGAGGACGGCCCTAAGAAATGAATGTAGGGGAAAGCGAACTCTGCCCTCCGCAATAGATAGGAGAGGGAAGACGATTGTATTTTGGTCGTCCCTTTCCATATCAAGGGTATTGTCCGTCACCAGAGCAAGATGGACATCCTCAGGAATAGAAAAATGTTTTCGGAACCCAGAAATTCGACCCTCGGAAAGGAGGTCTTTCAAATGCTTAGCCATTCTAGCAAGGACTCAAGGATATCCTAAATCAAAAATAAATATGGAAAATAGGATTGCAAGGAGAAGAGAAGAAAACTTACGAAAGGCAAAGGAGATGAGGAGAGAACGGATAAGAGTTGCAGAAAACGCGTCGAAGAAGAGATACCGACTGGCAGTCCAGGAAGTTCAAATATTCGAAAAAGCATATCTTCGAAGGGACTTAAGTTTCAAATCATAATAAATGCGAGAGAAGCACGAATGGGGCGGGAAAGCGTTACAATGACCAAAAAGCACGCACGCGTTCTGACACGCATCGGGAAGAGGATTAATTGCCGAAATTTTTTAACTTCTAGCCAAACACAGCGAGGTGTTTGGGGGGCAATTGTGGGAGCCGAATAATTGGAATAATCAGAAGCATACTCTAGGAGACATATATTACACGGCTCTACACGGCGTAATAAGGATGCCGAATAGGATAGATGGGCCGAGCAAATACTGAACCATGGAGCCGAGTAAATAAGAGGACGACGAGAGGCAAGTGGGCCTGGCCATGAGGCCCAGGACACAAGTATAAATAAAGGAACAACAGACTGAGAAAGGTAGGTAAAAATTGTAGTGCTTAACTTAGAATAAAAGTATTCCTGAGTGTGGTTACTGACTTGTCCGTCGGAGTGCTAACTCCGGCACCCCCGCCGGAGTGTATATTTCTTTTCAGGTGATCACCGGAAGAGGATCACGAGCGTTCCCGAGGATCAGAAGAGTATTTCCAAATCACTTCTCCACAGTTTCTAACATAACCATCATTTACATTGGAAATACATACACACACCTATGAGCACAAATGCAAATGTCATGTTTTGTGTTATTCAACAAACCAGACAGGGCAGCCCCTTGGCTTCAAGACTCAAGTACATGGTCAATGTGTGTGCTGCTACCAAACACACTATAATGCTTGAAGAACAGAGAGACAAACAACGATAAATTACACTTTTTTTTTTTTTCGATGACTCAACAATGATGTGTGGATATCAAACACTCCCTCCATCACAATTCATGTGTCTTACTTTACATTTTTGCTAGTCCCATTAGCTTTGAAAAGTCAAAAAAAAAAAAAAAAGTAATATCAATTTGGTTTTTGGGTGCAAATCTTACATGTGTATGGAACCAAACACAGGTAAGACTTGCAGCCAAAAAGATTCCCACCAAATTGATATCAACAATGCTACACCTATCACATTTTTGTACTCTCACCATCTTACTTGTCAATACTATATTGGTATAATGAGTCTCACTACTGATATATATCTCCAATGCAATGCTGACTAGACTAACACATTAGATGGTAAGATAAAAGGGTAGAAATAGATGGCCATTGTAGCATTAAGAGATATTATTCTTTGATTGTCCCTTTGTTTTGTTATTCCCCCCCCCTCCCCAAAAAAAAAATATATATATATATATATCACTTTTCCACACTATTCTTCAAATATATATATAAAGTACAATCCCAATTCCAACATAATTTATTCAAAATAGCTAAAGAGAGAACACTTTTGAAAACCTCTTATATTATTTCACTGACATGTACTTTTTATTCTGGGCTTTCCTTGAACTAAGTGCAAGGTCAAACATGCCACACAAAAATGGGATTGAGGGAATAATAGTTTCCTAGATAAAAGATATCATGCCATCATATTTACCCAAACTATTTTAGAAAGCTAGCATTTCGGAAAGTCTCCAAACAAATAGTCACCGTTTGTTAGACAAAGGTGCCACGTTCAAAGGTATCTAAGACAGCTAGTTTCCACTAGAAAGCCCACAAATAGTTGGCATATGGAATTGTAGCCCGCATTAAATAAGTGGGAAGGACAGGGCATAAACCAAAACAGTTCCCTAATTGTCAGGTTCATAGACTGATCCCAGCTGATGCTTTATATTATCAACACATCCCACATAAAGGATGTAAAACTTAATTATTTATGCCCTCATTATTTCCTAAATCCAATCCCCAAACTCCATATAATCAACAAAAATTGTCTTTCAACCATGATGATTAATATAAGAATATTTGATTGAACATACTCAACAGATGAACCAGACCAATCAGGAACCTCTGCTTGAAAATCTTGACCAATTCGAACATTGTGAGTACATGGCCCAGTGTCTTTCAACATGGATGCTATAGCACCTAATTTGCCTTCAGATGTTGCTGTACTAGTAGTTGTCTCCTTCAAAATTTTATGCTTCTTTTCAAACAAGAGTGACAGAACCATTCATCAATTAACGCATTCGTTATACGGGGGTTGCAGCAGGAGAGATGAAATGCCTCTTCACATTGATCACAAATTAGCATCTTCAGTGTAGTTTCTGGATGATCACAAACTTTGCATGTCCGTATACAGCTGCTATCACTAATTGTACCAAGGCCTTCAGCAGCTGGCTCCTAATAGGACAAACTCCTTCAAGCTGCCCCTGCCATCTAAGAATCAAAATGCATATATCTTTTTCTGATAGATCATCCTGCAAACCCTCCACGACCAATTCACAAGAAGAGGAACACTCACCAGTGTCATCCACTTCAATCCTCAAGGAAGGTGAACCAAGTTCCACATTTGACTTTGATGATGAATAACTATCATTTACACAGCCGAAATCTAAAGCTCTGTGGCTATCACCTTGTGGAGCTGCTTTGGATCCAAGCTCTCCCCCATCTAAACATCCATTAATGGATTCTGGCTTCGAAACAAGGGCATCTCTTCTGCAATTAGCAAGTGTCATTACGGGAGCTCTGACAACTTCGCTCTCAAGCCCAACTACAGAAACTATATGTCCCTCAGCTGCCAGTGAAGGGGCATCAGAACTGATGGCAGAAATACAGCTATCACTCGGCTTTGCTGATCCCTTGACTGGAAAAACAGAAACGGAGTTCCTTTCAAGCTTCCTTCGCCGGTATACAAAAGCAGGTGTAGAATTCTCAGACATAGTACTGGCATTTGATAGCTGGGAACAACTACGTGCAAAATTTAAAGAGCATGTATCATCAATGTTCCTTTTCAGTTCCATAGTTGGAATAACTTCTTCCCACCCATCCTGAGGATTTTTCTCACACTTGCGACGCTTGTGCCAAGTTTCAGCATCAGGCTTCCAGTCACCTTTCTCACGGTCAGATACAAAAGCAAGAGCAGCTTCAATGGAACCAGTAAGAGAACTCCGAATCAACATTGTCACCTCAAAGGCATTTACTAATATCAATAGTATACTGTTTTCATTTACTCCTGAAACAAGCCACTAAACCGATCTTCCCCCCCGGATTTGACACATAAGAATCAAAGTCAATGTTAAACCAGCTTCATAATCATCCTATCCATTAACTCCAAAACTCTTACCTGATCAATGATCATTTAGCAAAAAGTAAACAAATGAATAAGACAATGTCAATGTAGAATTGCAGGCCTTTTATCTTCATTCAAAAGAAAATTATTAAATAATAAATAAAATGAAAGAAGAAGAAATCAATTAATTCTAAAAAGGTATACAAGAAGTCTGTAGCCCAAAAAGAAGCAAGTGGGGTAGAACATTACAGGAGTAGTGAACACTTGCAACACCACAGCCTACTAGTAGTGAGCCCAAAACCTAATATGATGCAGCAGGAACAAGTAGCCTTTTGGGACTGGTTTTAATTGGGGTTTTGTGGCTTTAAAAGGTGGTAAAATACAAGCAACAAAAAAGATTAAAGGTTTGGGGAATGAAAATACAAGGTTTTAGAAACTTGACTGCTTGTGGGTGGTTCTGGGCACAGTGGACGGCAACTTTGGTTGATTTTGTCTTACAAGCTAGCTAGGGTTTATTAGTGGGAGAGATGAATTAAGGGTTTGTTTACATTATTATCTTAGGGTTGAGAAAACAATGGAACATACTTGCTTGTTTGGGTTTTAATGTTTGAAGGTGCAGAAATTCAAAAGAACATGAGAGTATTCTTGATGACTGGGATCAAGAAAGGAAAAAAGTTAAAGACTTGTCACTTGTAATTTTTAGGAGATTTCTGTTAAATTTATTTATTTCTCCTTTTTCTTTAGCTTCCCAATTAGCTATCTAGTCGGAAATGGCTCCCTCCATATTGTTATCCTTCATACTCTTTCCTATTTTATTTTTTTGGCTCTATTCCAAGTTCACATTGACAATCTAACTTGTTCATCTCGTAATCTTAATTATTTAAATGAGTTATACAAAAAAAAAAAAAATTTAATCATATAACGCTATAACTTCGTTTGGGAAGCCAAGTTTTTTTTTTTTTTTTGCCTAAAAAAACAAAATAAATTTTTTAATGACAAAATATTACATCCAACTCATAATTATTATATTTGAAAATTAAAAATCTTTCTCAAATAAGACTTTTTAGCCTCCCAACTAAAAAAATTAAAAAAAAAAATTAAAAAATCAACTCACTTTGCCAAATGACCCTATGTATACAAATAAATTACATACTATCTTTTAAAATAAACAGTAAACTTAAACTTTTTTTAAAAAAAAATAAAAAGCGATTTATTTATATATTTATCGATATCCAATCAAGCTGATTTTTTTACGATAAGTCTTCATTTACCATCTGAATAATTCAGATTAAAAAAATATGGAGAAAAAAGTATGGAGGGGAGCATACCCATCTTAGTCTGATACATACATAAATATACATATATATATAAATGGAAGATGAGATTGTGAAACAGAAATCTTTTACCTTTGAATGAATTAGTAATATATATTCGGAAATCCTATCCTATGGTGTGGTTTTGGAGTTGTTGGTTGTACACATGAGAGCAAAAGTGCGATCCGTGACCATCATCAAGTCACACGCCTTCGCTGCCGATCCAAAACCAGCTACTGAAAACCTTCACGGCCTTTGCAGGATTTTTTCCTTTTTTTTTTTGGTGGACGGACAGCGCCGCTGTCCACTGCATTTACTTCTCAACGTCGCACCCAAAACCCAGTCACCGCCACCACCGCCTTGTCTTCTGACACTCGACTCTGAATATCGTTGCCCTCGTCCAAGTTATTCCCTCCAGATATATTATTGAATTCACAAAACCAGCGTCAAGCACTGAAAAGGTTATATTCGCTTTGCTTGTTTTTGATGCTTCTGAGAAAATTTTATTTATTTTCTTGGTTTCTGTATTTTTTTTTTTAAATTGATTTTTTTTAATATTTTAAATAATTTTTTTTAATTTTTAAACGTATTTAGTATGAATACATTTTAAATAATTTTTTTTTTAATTTTTAACCTTATTTAATATGAATACATATAAAAAGTATAACTTTTGTGAAATAAAAAAAAATTCGCTAAATACTAAAAATACAAAAATTCAGTATATTTTTTATATTTTTATGTATTTATTAATTTTTTAAAATATTTTTTCACAATTTTTTTACTTTTTAGATACATTTATGTAAAGTGTATCTAAAAAAGTAAAAAAAATGTTTAAGATTTTAAAAATATTTACTAAAAACAAAAAACAAAAAAACACGAAAAAAATTAATTTTTAAAAAACTTAATTCAAAAAACTCAAACCAAACATACATATTATTATCATTTTATCTCTAAGGAAGACCAACCCATTCCTTATAACCCTAAACCCAACCCATTTTTCATAAACCTTGACCCATTAACTAACTACCTCAATCTAAGACCGGCCCCGGCGGGGATTACACTCTTCGTTCCCGATCTCCAAAGGTTAAAAAATCTCGGTTGGTCCCCGCTCCAGATCTCTAGCAGGGAACCCATCACCCTCCTCCCGCCTCCGCTTCCTAACGGGGATCAAGTTTTCTCGACCCCGAAAAATTCCCGATACTTTTTTTTTTTTAATTTTGTTTAACACAAAAACAACAAATAAATTTAATCTGTTTTCAATATGTTTCATTATCATCATCATCATCAACAATCATCACCAACAACAATCATCAACAACTTTAAAAAAAAATTAAAAATTAAAAATTAAAAAAATATATATGAAATTGTTATGCACACATATATGTGTAAATCAATGTTAGATCTATTCATCAACAACAACTAAAGATTTGTTCATTATACACACACACATATGTATGTAACTATCAGATCTAAGAAAACCCTAACAACAAAAAAATTGAGCAATCCTTAACAAAAAAAAAAATTGTGTCGTTCTCACAGATCAGATCAAAGAGAGGAAATGGATTATCATTGAAACTTTAGATTAGATCTTCAAAATTTTAGATCTCACGGCCAGTGGTGGTGGTGGTGGATCTGGATCTTGCGATTGAGCAGCTCCGGCGATGAAGTTTCGGTTAGTGGTGAGAGAGATCATCAGATTTAATGAAGATGAAGTAGGGCGGCTGTGCATGTTCAATTCAAAGCAGATAAGACGAGGTCACGGAAGCAAAGAAGAGATTGCAGCTGTGAATGTGGTAGTCGTGGCAATTGGGCGACTGAGGGAGTAGTGGTCGGCGAGAAGAGAGATAAAGGGGATGAGAAGAGAGACACACACAGAGAGAGAGAGAGAGAGATGAAATTGTCTAAGGCTTGTGTGAGGTTGTGTTAGGATTTGATATATATATATATAGAGAGAGAGAGAGAGAGAGGAGTATTTGTCTGGTTTTTCGTGCTCCTCGGAGGGGTTTAGTCTCCTCGGATACGATAGCCCTACAGTTCGGACTCCCGTGGTTCTGAATCTGGTTTCACAAGTGCAATGTGAAATAGAAAATACAAATGAGAGTCTAAATCCAACAAGTTTTAGAAAAACCATTTATCATCAGAGATGCCATAAATAGACTGCATTGCCAAATTTCAGAATCGCCACCCAAATATTTTTGGAAAATATAGGAAACCCGTGACTCGTGCCAAAGGCCACTTATTCGTCATAACCAAAGTGTCTCGGCTCGGGAACTTATGTATGAGAGGGGAAGGTCATGAATTGAGCACTCCATTCACCAGATCAAAAATTGGCCTCTATTAATCATGATGTGATTTTTATGTACATTATATGCTCTTATTCTGATTATTATGCTAACTTATTGTGTGAAGCACACATGTATAGACTATGTCACCAATTTTGGAATGTTTTGATTTCATGTTTGTTTGAAAAAGAATTTTGAATGTGTGCTACTTGAAAAAGCAAGCTGATATGTACATTAATCAAAATCATCCCAATTTAAGCGAAATAACCTTCATCTACAGGCATTCAAAGAGTTATTCCAAATAAGCACTTAGCCTCATGGTAGTATGCTTGATATGACAACACGAACACACATGCAATATGCTAAAGCAAAAATGTTCACGTAGTACTCAACCGAGGCAAGCCAAAGGAAAGAAAATAATTAAAAAAATGCATGCTCTAATATGCAAAGTGACTAATGCAACACGTAAAAAATGCAACTATCAGATTCAGCTACTTATCATGACATATGAATCAATTCAAGGCATATGGCAGAGCATGTATTCAAACAAGAAATAATCGATATTTATCAAGTATGATGAGCCAAATCCTAATGTATACAAAAATGGGTGCAAGTCATGGTAATGATATGAAACCAAAAATATGATACCACATGCAACCATAGTAAGCAAGTAAATAAAATGGAAAAAGAATAGGGGTTGGAAGACATACAAAATATTACAAGTGTTACAAATTACCCTCACACAAGAGGGTCCAAATGAATGAATGTTCTAATTAATTACAAATCTGAATGAATAATTACCTAATTTATTACAACAATAATATTACAACAATAATATATAAAGAATGAACAAGGATCACATGCGCGTCAACGAAGACAGTCCTTAGAAACTACGCTGTCTATCTTATGGGAAATTGCTCTGTTTCACCCTCAGCCACTGCTCTGTGTTTTCAGCAAACTGCACTGTGTACCATACTTTGGAGTCTGGCCGACCCACAAAGAGGCCCGACCAGGTCCAAAGAAATCCAATCGTGTCCTATTTTTTTGGTAAAAATACTGTTTTGTGCATTAAGGTGAAAACAGTGCAGACAAAGTGTTTCTAAGAGATGTTTGTCCTCTCTGCCCTTTCCTATCATGAAGATATTCAAGAGAGGAGTAGATTCACTTCTCAAATCATCAACCAATGCAAATTTGTTACATAATGATCTTCAAAAGCAATAGGATAAGAATTCAATAAATAAAACAAAAAGACAAACATTACCTCCTTTCTATCATGAAATTGGTCAAGGAAGAGGTAGGCATGCTTAACTCATTTCTTATAACCCTAAACCCGATCCATTTTTCATAAACCTCGACCCATTAACTTACCACCTCAATCCAATCTCTTTGCCAAATCCTTAGCCTAAGTCGGTGATGTTTGGTACAGCTTATTGTAAGTTAAAAGTTGATAATCACACAGTTTAAATCAAAAGCACCCCTTCCCCACATTCCAAATAATAAGCTTTTCTCAACTTATTTAAACTATTTCTGGTTAAAAAGTTGTAAGCAGAAGTTACACCAAACAGTCTAGCATAGATTCTTAAATTAAAATAAGCTATAATCACCCCTTATAATCCACATCAAACACCTTCATCATCATCTCTAAAACCCAACTTACCTAATTAACCAGCCCATAAGTAAAACAACCCCCCTACCCACCAGGAAAAAAAAATTCAATATCAAAGTTTCACCAATGTCATCACATCAAGCTAATGTGGTGAAATCAACCAATTATTTTGCAAAATTATGTCCAATTGAATTCCACAACATTTAAAATTCAAATCAGCCACACATCAAATAAGGAATAACTAAATTCAACGATGTGAACAAGTCCACCAATTTTATTTCTTTGTTTTCATTTCATTTCATTTTTGAATTTGGTTTTCATTTCAAAATTCAAATTGTTTTTATTCTAGTAACTAAATGGTTGATTTTGAGCTCAACCTCCACACAACGATTGGCTTGGTTGTTGTATTTGTTCATACAATTGAAAGATTGAAATGAATCGGAGAGTATTTTCTGGTTCGCTTGTGATCGCTTCGTCACTGCCATAAGAGAGTTCAATGCTAGAAGGCTCTTAGGCCTTTTGAAGTCCTCATCAGTCAAGAGAAAGATACATTGATGCATAGTTTCAACTCCCAAAACTGTGAGGGTGACAAGTATGATAAACTCTAGATGTTTGCACCGACATAAGAATGGAAGGAACCCGCACCAACATGGTTTGGTCTTGGTTGTGGCAATTGGCAATGGTTTGGTCTTGGTTGTGGCAATTGGCAATAGCCATAACATCGTCCAGAGTAGACAAAACTTCTGTTGTTTAGAATTATATCGCTTAGCTAACTAGCCTTAACATCTTCGAGAACGTCTATATTTTCATTAACTCTTAAAATTACTTAACGCATCTCTAGTGGGCTACTAAATGGCTCTCATTGCCAAATTATGGCAGCTCCACTCAAAAAACCTCCTTCAGTGGGTTGCCAAATGAGTTGCTGACATTGCCAAATTTTGTGCCAAATTTGACACAATATCTGGCAATGTTATAATTTGTTAGCTTAGCTTCCTCATATTTTTTAGCTATCATTTTGACTAGAAACATCCAGCATTCATAGCAAAAAAACATAACAAATTGATTTCATAACAAATTCAAAAATCAAACCAATGGGAGAATGATACACAAAATATAAAAAATTACAACACAAATTAATATATTAAAATTATACATAAAATGGGAATTAACATCACCTCTTTCAAGGTAGAGGACCTTCGCAGTTTAAGATTGTACTCCTTCAAGATCGAATTAAATTAATCAACTAGAAATTTTGATTGTTTTGAGGGACTTAATTGTAAATCAATTAAAAATCACTATTGTAGATCATTGTTGAGATCTTAATGAATTAAACCTCGATTAAATCTAAGAAATGGGAAGGCATATAAAAAGAACTTCAAAAATCAGGGTTTAATTCTTAGATTTGATCACTTGCAAATTTATGAATGATCACGTAAGACTAATGCTTAGCTTTAGGGTTAGAAATTATGTGTGTATGTGAGAGTGTGTGTGTATGTGTGTGTGTGTGTGTGTGTGTGTGTGTGTGTGTGTGTGTGTGTGTGAGAGTGTGTGTGTGTGTGAGAGAGAG